CCTTATTGCAGAACCGGTTTTACCTCCACGGAAACGCTATTGCGTCTCTGCAGACGAGCATCCCCATTCTCATCAACGAGCTCAAGAAAGGCGATATCGAGTGAGTGAGTGATTATGTTTCTCTCGTCGCTTTCGCATTTGTTTTCGAATGAAATTCATATTCGTGTGTGGGTTATTTCTTTTTTGGGGGGGAAAAGTAGCCTGAGGAATTCGATCTACTGTACCAGGGAAAATGAACCTTGCCCCCCCATACTGCGTGAGTTTCGGATGTTTCGTCCGGCTTTCCCGTCACAGCCAAAGCGTGGGTTTCCTGCTCTGTATATGTTCATTTCCCTCTCTCACGCGCGCTCTCTGTGCTCCTCATCGCCGCTGGCGCCATGCCTTGTAGACCCCGGTGTCGCACTGTTTTCTCTTGTTTCTCATTTGGAGGGCTGCGTTCGCCATAGCTGGCGTACCCCCTCATTCTCGTCTTGCGTGTGTTCCCGCTTTCCTCATCCCACTCCCTATCTTTCTTCCGTGTTGCGCACAGCTGCATCGCCTTCCCAGACGACGGGGCCGCGAAACGCTTCGCCCACATGTTCGCTGGCCTGGGGTTCCACACCGTCATATGCGGGAAGGTAAATCACGGAGCCCCGAGTCGTTGGTGCTAAGTTGGTTTCTTGTTGGAATGCCCCGTGTGCCTTGCCGCCCACGAGCACGCTACATTGCGCCGCTGCTAACCGTGTGTGCCGTGTTCCGCCTCACATGCACTTCGTCATGTTCCATCGTTCCGAGCTTTGAAGAATAACCTTGTTAATGGAGGCACCAAGGAATGATGTGTGTTGCTCAGTGGACTGTCGGTATCGGTGTACTCATTCTGCCTCCGTTGTCTTTCGCAAGCACAAGGTTTAGAGATCGTGGAGGGCTTTGCCTCACCAATTGACGGCAACACCGCTCATTACCTTGGGCTTTGTTTGTTTCGAGCACCGCCTCCTCGACTTTCACGCGTACTCCTCGTGCTTGCTCTTGTTGCTGCGAAACCTCAAGGTGCGGGATGGTGAGATTCGCAGTATTACCATCCAAGATGGCGACCCCGCGGGCAAGAACATAATCATTGTAGACGACCTTGTGCAGGTATTTTGCATGTTACTGATTAGCGGTTGCGGTTGTGGTGGTGTTGTTGTTGTCAATGGTACCCCTCCTGTCTCAGTTTTGTGTGAATCTCTTCGGCGCAGTACATGCTGCTTCCACTTTCGCTTTGGTCGACGATAACCAGATTTGAAAGCTGGTTCCGCGCTTCGGGTCTGCCTTGATCGACGAGCAGACTATTTGTAGTCGTGGGTGGCGACCCTCAATCGTTTTCTTGTTTGAATTGTCCACCCTCTGGCCCGTCTCATTCTCTCTCTCCCCGCATGTCATATCTTGTTTGCGTAGACCGGAGGAACACTGTACGAGTGTGGGCTGGCGCTAAAAGCTGGCGGCGCCAACTCGGTGCAGGCGTTCGTTGCGCACGGGGTCTTCCCCAAGGAAGCGTGGAAGCGTTTTGCTAAGGTGACAATTAGGATGACCCGACCTGTCTCAGAATTCGCAATAGCAGCACCAGCAGTAGCGGCAGCGGCAGCGCCCCCCCCCCCCCCCCCCCCCCCCCCCCCCCCCCCCCCCCCCCCCCCCCCCCCCCCCNCCCCCCCCCCCCCCCCCCCCCCCCACACCAGTACAGTAGTTCATGGGCGTGCAAAATGAGGTTGTGGTAGTGGTTTTGTGTGTTTGTCGTCTCAACATTGTACTGTCGTAGACTATTGTCTTGTGCTTCAGTACTGCGTCGTGCTAGCTCTTCTGTTGGTGACCAGTCCCCTTGGCCACAAGCTGAGCCAAACCTACCGCGATATTGCGGGTGGACAAAGATCCCACGATGACCCCCCACCCCCCGCACAATGTATCTGCTCTGAGCGTTGTACACTCCAAGCGAGGTTATTTGGGCTTGCCTGGGTATGCCATTTGCATCTACCAGTATGTCCTTTGCCGTTTTGTATTGCGTGCACTCATGCCCCCCTCCTTTCCATTGTTGGCATCTGCTTCCGTTTTTTGCCTACGTGCACTCATGGCCCCTCGTTGTCTTCTTCGCCTCTTCGTTCTTCGTGTTGATGGCGGGCGCCTCGGGTTTGATGGAAACGGGGGTCTCAACCACAAAAATTAACACGAAAAACGATGGATGTGACACTTCCACTAGGGAGGGGATCGCTGCGTGTTCGACAAGTTTCTCGTGACCAACTCCATCCCAACGACGACGGACAAGCTGCCCAAAGATGATGTGTACGTGGTGCTCGACCTGGTCAACCGGATAAAGGAAGACCTGGATCTGCATAGCTCAGTTTAGCATAGCCTTTCTTGAATCTCGGTGGTGACGTGCGGCGTTGACTTTGTTTGTCGCTGTAAGATGGAGGTCCTGGGCATGGTTGTTGTCGGGGGAGGTTTAGGACTGGGCCTCCACTACAAACCTACCTGTAGCTCTTGGCAGCCCCACAGCTTTTCCTGGTTGATGCGTCTCTAATGTGTTACGCGTGTTGGATTGTGTTCTTTGTGTCACTGGCCTCCTCGCAGAGCACGACAAGCAGGATGTCTGTAGGATTAGGTAGGTTTAGGGAACGATCTCGACGTAGCCGGCGAGGCTCCCAAGGCAATGAAATGCTCTTCCACGGATGACCGCGACCTTCCGTGCTTTGCCACAGATTTTGCTCGCTTTTTCTTCTTTCTTTGATTCAAATCAGCGCTAGCGGTACACGCTTGTGCCGTTTACTCCGAACCGTGGTCACCCAGAAGGGTTCCTCTCCCTGACGCCCCCTACCTATCCCTCCGACGGTACTCCGCCGTCGATATTTAACGCGAGAAGAGTGCAGCACTCTCTTCCCTGTGTGTACACACAAAGTAGCGCTTTCCACCCAGGCCAGGAAATAAAGCGAGAGAAAAACTTACTTTGCGAGAAAAGCTCCCTTTCGCCGGAATTCCAACCCCTGACCCTGGCCACTAACAGGTTTTCGATGATACCAACTAGACTGCTGGGGCGACCAGCCCGCTTGGATTTGTTCGCTTTGCGCGCGTGTTTGCAGAGGCGTTTTTCATTCCCTACGAGATCCGAATCACGAAGAACGTATCTCAGGGAAGGTTCTTTCTTGCTGTTTTTCTTTTCGTGCAAGGCCTTCGTCTCCGCCCTTTTGTGTCTTACCTTCGTAAGCATGTGGATACCGTATGTTGTACCTCTTTCAGACAGCCCGGGCGAAATGCTTCTTCCCCAAACTTCTGAACAGACCAGCTGGTTCATAGCTGTTTAGAGAACCACGTTCATCTAACCATTCGTCGGCAGCGTGACATCACCACGTCCAAAGAGCCTTGAAAAAAGAGTGCAAGTGCAACCGTGTGACATTGGTGAAGTGCAATCGCCCTTCTCCCACTTCGACGGTCCGTGCTGTCACTCCCTTCAGAACTCGAAACACCGGCGAGATCAACGGGAGCCTGCCGTTTAAACGCATTTCTGCGACAAAAAATCATGTTGCCGCTCTCCATCAGTACTAACGTCACTCACGACCGCATAACGAAAATATCGACAACGATTCTCCACCTCCTCGTCAATTCTCTTATCTGTAGGGTCAATGCAGCTTGAAAGGACCCGTCACAGCCCGGCATCATTGAAGAGGTATCATGCAATCCACTTGGAACGGTTCGTCGGAAAGACGTAGGATTGTCAATTTTCACGATGTGTCGACCATCATATTGCGGTCGCCATGGCACGTACCCCCGCCCCTTCCTTTGGCCGTCGACCTGCCTCCATGTAGTGGGAGGCTACCCCCCCAGGCTGGTGGTGCGGCCGTTCCACTAGTCTAATTATTTATTTTATTTTATTTTATTTGTTTCTGATTATATTTTGTTTTCTTGTATTTTATCGCTCTGCTGACCCTTGGGGTCCATTTTATTTTGGTATACCTTTTCTAGGTACGTTAGCCTGTGACCACGGAAATTGGCCGAGTCAAGTGATGGATTAGTACGGAGAGATTGAGACAGAAGGAGGTACTGGATAGAGAGACCGGGATGGTTTTTAATGTGAAGACAACAACAACAACATGCACAACAAGCACCATGACGCATGCCCAGTGATGTGCCTAACCACGCATGTGCCCTCAACCCGCCCTCCCCCCCCAACGCCCGAAGGTCGCGTTTCGTCCCTCAGGAGCAAATGCAAGAACCGACACAAACCCCAGTCCCTGTGATATTCAGGGCCACCATCTACATCCTCCGCTGCATCAATGATCACCTCTTACAGAATGGATAATTCTATTTACGTCACCGGTGGCGTTATTTCTTATATGCGTCACCGCCCTTATCTCAGCCCACAGAGCTTTNGAAGTTACAGTCGGATTTTTTTGTGGTAGATGCAGTATCATACTGCTGAGTCCCCTTTTGAGCAAATCTCCGCAAACACTTATTATCGGATTTGACCGTCGAAAGGCTTGTATGATTGGTGTGGGTCAAAGCTACACAACGCAATTTATTTTGTGCCAATTGAAGCTCTGTGGGCTGAGATACGGGCGGTGCCGTATGTAAGAAATAACGCCACCGGTGACGTAAATAGAATCCTCCTTACAGAATGCACACCGCGCCCAACTCCATGTCTGAAGCCTAAGCGACCCTAGATAAAAGTCATTCAAGCTGGGTTGGTTTGCTTGCCTTCATGGCGTGTCCACCACACACCTCTTCTCCTTCGTCGGTGTACCACGGTTCACAAAACGTGTCGAAGACTCGGTGCCAAGGATCTGATCCACCCAGCGCAACGGCTACCCGAGACGTCCTTCGCGATATCTGAACTGCCGACCCTCAAGCACCTGGAAACACTTTCGAGCGTGTCTTGCCACGAAGGAGAGAAGCAGTGAAATGAAGGGGGTCGCCAACTCGATACTTAGTGGGCATCAGGATCTTCGTCGCTGACATTACGCATGTTGGTCACAATCGCACTTATCCACGTATCGGTCTTCCTAGCCATACCCCCACTGCATTCCGAACGCAGGACTCCCACAACCGGAGGTGTGCCTCCTCGACGGCTGCCATAGTAGACTGGCCCTGTTGCGAGTGACACTTTGCAAGGAGGTCGGCCATGCGACTTCGATCAGAGACTGCTGGAATTTGTCTCCAACTTTTAAATGCTGCAGTGAGGGAGGCCATGCAACTTCGGTGACGGGCTGGTTGAAGTGCAATCCAAACGATAGCTGCTGCAGGGAGGCCGGCCACACGACATCGGCGATGGGCTGGTTGAAGAAATTCCCAAACAATAACTTCCGCAGGGAGGCCGGCCACACACTTTCAACAATCGGCTGGTTAAATTCACACCCGAACGACAACTGCTGCAGAGAGGCCGGCCACTCGACTCCGGCGACGGCCTGATTGAAGCAAAATCCAAACGATAGCTGCTGCAGGGTGACCGGCCACGCAACGTTGACGATGGGTTGGGTGAAAAAATAATCAAGCGATAGCTGCTGCAGGGAGGCCGGCCACGCGACTTCGGCGATGGCCTGGGTAAAGTAAAAGCCAAGCGATAGTTGCTGCAGGGAGGCCGGCCACACGATTTCGGCAATGGGCTGGTCGAAGTCGTCTCCAAACGATAGCTGCTGAAGGAAGGTCGGCCACATGACTTCGACGATGGGCTGGTTGAACCTATTCCCTAACGACAGCTGCAGCAGGGAGGCGGGCCACACCACCTTGGAAGTTGGGTTGGTTGAATTCGCTAAGAAACGACAGCTAGCTGCTGCAGGGAGGCCGGCCACATGACGTTGACGATGGGTTGGTTGAATTCGTTAAGAAACGATAGCTGCTGCAGGGAGGCCGGCCACACGACTTCGGCAATGGGCTGGTCGAAGTTATCACCAAAATCTAGCTGCTGAAGGAAGGTCGGCCACACGACGTCGGCGATGGTCTGGTTGAATCTACTCCCGAACGATGGCTGCAGCAGGGAGGCGGGCCAAACGACTTCGGCAATGGGTTGGTTGAAGTACCATCCGAATGATACTTGCTGCAGGGAGGACGGCCACATGACGTCGGCGATGGGCTGGTTGAAGCGAAATCCGAACGATAGCTGCTGCAGGGAGGCCGGCCACGACGCCGTGCTCAAGGGCGTATCCAATTGAAATACCAGCCACTTGAGCCTTTAAAGCGACCACATCGATCCTAGGCTTGCTGCAAATGAATGTCCCCCAATCCGCCGATATTTTGACGCTGACCGAAGCTCCATGGCAGAACTCTGCAGCAGATCGTCCATGGAAAGTGCCCACGTCACACCAAAAGCCGACACAGCCGGGACACGACTCCAGACACCAACCTCGCGACGGTGCTTGCTTGTTGACTGCTGTGGTGTGTGAGTTGCGAGGAGACCACAAGCTACGAGGTGTTCGTGGATTGACACGCAAGTGCAGGGTTGGCACACGTCTGCACGCCCTACAAAACTCCGGCGACGCGAGCTGTAGCTCCAGCGTTGACGCATACCGACGTTTTGTCCTCCATCACATGCCTGGTTCGAGGCGACGATGAAGGCGACCAAGCGCCCCCTCCGTCCTGAGATAGTGGACGGCAGGTCCAGTGTTCGTGTGTAAGTATTTCGTCGAGTTTTCGACACGCCGAATGCTGATTGCGTATTCATACTTGGAGAAAAGATCTACAATGATACATTGTAGCTGCCGTGATACTGTCACTACTCCATCCGTCTTGAATTATTATTTTCTTCGGGAACCTGCAGAATTTTGCTGCTGGGAGAGGGTCCCGAGTCAACTGGCACTAGAGTGTGCGGTGCAACAACCCAACAGCAACATCAGTTCAAACCTAGCTGACACCATTCAAGAGTACTCCACCTGTGGTTGGTTTTGCAGCCTAGTTCCATGTGCTGTACAATCACAGGATCAGCAGCTAACGTGATCAATGCTCGGTGTTGCGGGTAGCGCGGCACGGCATTAGCACGGTGCCTGTATGCGAACGCAAGTTTTCAACTTCATCCGTGCCTACTTCTCGATCCTCTACACTGATCAAGTTGAATTCTTGTGCAATATGCTTTCTGTCGCTTAGTTCGTCTTCCCTAAAATTTTAGCGGCGATTGGTCACGCGTGGGGCGCGTTCTCGTGCTTGGTCTCTGGCGCGGGTGCACAGCAGTGTGGTTGATCCGCGTAGATACGAACTGTACATATTTTCAGGGAGGTTCGAGGGTGCCCGAGAAAAGTTTATCCGCACACCTACGTACCTAACCCCCCCCCCCAGGAGGGCCCATAAAAAGAAACATTTTATTGCCTATGCCATTATTGTTCTCTTGATTCATTGACGATTGCGTCGTGTAGTGCACCTAAAACCTTCTTGACCTGTAGTGCAGACGAAGCATTAGCACTACACCACGCAGTCACTTGAGTTATGCCTTCAATGCCTGCGCCTAGAACGTGTCAGTTGCTACGTAGAGAAACCACACCACATCGCCGACTCAATTCTCAGTCAGCTGAGGAGCCGAGAGAAACAAGCAGCAGCAACACACACCTCTCCGCGCGTGACCTAAGAACCCCGATGCTCGACGGAACCTCAGGCCGTAATAATGTGAAGTGTTCCAAAGTGTCGTCAATACCGCACATAAATCTACAACTCCGAATAGCGCCGTTTCGGGGTGAGTCTACGCCCCCTCGAGCTCACGCCTGGCTCCTCTGTTTGTTTTTCTTCCTCCTCCTGCTCTTCCCCCCCCTCCTCCCCCTCGTCCTCCTCCTCCTCGTCTTCTCCCCCATCCCCCTCTTCCTCACTGCCCTCCCCCTCCCCTCCTCCCTCTTCCTCGCTGCCCTCCCTCTGTGCGCGACGAGGAGCTTTTGGGCTAGTCTTGCGCCATACAACAGCTACAGAGTTCTGGCACCCGGACCTTGCTTCAGCTTGCTCGCCACCTTCGATTTCTCTTCCTCGCTCACGTCTTAGCAGGCAATAAATCTCGCAGTGTTGGGATCCGTTTTTCTCAGCGACAACTCTGGCCCGTGCTGGTCCTATACGTGGTACGACATGCAGTGTTGAATCCAGCTCGACGACAAGCGCTACAGGGCAGCTGTAGGTACAGTCCGTGTGCAGCGATAGGCTCTCCCACACAAACGCCGAAGCTCCGCCCTCAACAACCAGCTTCATTAGCTGCCCGTTGACGACCTGCCCATCTGCCGCCTCAACGGCGGCACGTGGTTGCTCGGTTGCGATCCCGATCCCGATACCATACTGAGGGGCTTGTCGAAGTTCCCCACGAAGTCTAAACAGGGTCGCAAAAGGAGCTCCGACCTGCAGAAGTGAGCTTGATCGTCGAGGTTCCAGTGGCCGTGGGCCCACCTGTTGCAGTGGTGAATGCCCGCACTCGCATGAGGCGGCCTTGGGAGGCGTTTTTGGCAAGCTGCCCGGTGTACACTCTCAGTGCCGATGCCTTGTGGACCTATCATCCAACACGGACACAAACGGGATAGGCGCCAGGAATATGGGGGAACAACATGATTGGGCGTGATAAGAGTGGGACACGAGAGCAGGGCATATGTGAGCAAGTCGAAAGAACATGCGAACACGACACGACAACATCCTTCACGGCCTCGATGTGGCTGCATGACGTCATAGATTTTCCAAGAGGGGGGGGGATGCGGCCAGCGTCAACACAGCTCAACCTCTTCCATTCAAGCTATTGATGTAGTGTGGGTGTCGAACAACCAGTTGCCTCTGTAGTTGGAATGTGAAATACACAAGCTGCCGCTGTTGCTGCCGCTGTCGCTGCCGCTGCTGCTACCGGCATAGACTACTTCGATGAACGCTCCGTTCGAGCTTAGTGTTCCCGCTGCCGCTGCTGCTGCCGGTATAGACTACTTCGATGAACGCTCTGTTCAAGCTCAGTGTTAGGAGTAGCCAGCGCTTAAGCCTCATGGCCCTAGACCAAAGCAGCGTAGAAGCCGTGGATGACACAAGATACCACACCCCCGGAGTGATTTTCTCCGCTCGACTTGGCTCGACTACTGCTGGACATCCCACGACGAAGAGGATGCAAAAATCAAACTGAATATTTTTTCGGAAAGCCCTCGATCAGACGGTTTTCAACGCCGCCATTTACGGCAGCACCACTCCTTTACTACCGTCGACTACTTGCAGTCGAGCTTTGAAAATCGGTCCGGGGGATGTGGTACCTTGTGTCACGTACGGTACAATCACGCATCGGTGTGCTGCGGTTATCAAGTTTTAGAGACGTCTAGACAATGGTTGTGTAAGAGAGGCAGCGTTCACAGTAAACAGCAACCCGAAAGTCGTCACTCCTCTGCACTACTCACTCTTTGTGTTTCTCCGAGCTCATGCTGTGCAGACGTCGCCGCGTCTACCCCAGATCCACATCGCCGAACCCTTGCCCACAGAGCAAATCCACTTCACACCACCGTCGCTGCCGGTTCTCTTCGTACACTGTCGCCGCAGTCAATATTCCTGCCGGAAATGCGCCTGGTGTAGGCCTACGCCCCCCCCTAAGGGCGCGCTCATCATGCTCTCCCTGGCACGCAACCTAGCGTACAGGCTCGCTAGGGCGCACCACACTCGCAGCGCGCAAGGCTAGGGGGCACGAAGATGCCGAAATACCCCCCTACACACCACCGCGGGCGGTGATGTTAACGCCAAGGACTCCTTCTGGACTGCTCTCGACGCAGCGATCCGGGAGGTTCACAGCCGTGACCGTCTCGTGGTGCTAATGGACGCCAACGCACAAACTGGTAGGAGGCAAGACGGGTACTGCGATGCCAAGATTATCGGCGCGTACGGACGCGACATTATGAACAACAACGGGGAACGACTCCTTGGACTGGCGTCAGACAACCAACTCTCCCTGACCAACACCTACTTCCGGACACCGAAAGGTGGAGTGCAGCACACATTCCAGAGCTCCAACAAGGGAAAGGAGAAGTACCGCCTCGACTTCATCCTCATGCGTCAGGCGGACCGGCGTTTCGTGCGCAATGTCTCCGTCAAACGTGTCGACTTCAAAGACTCTGACCACAACCTCGTGCTTACGACTGTCCGCCTCCCCCCCCGTGTCGCACCCAACCGACGAGTGCGGGGGAACAGCGGAAGCAGCCGGATCCGTATCGACCTCGAGCGGTTGAGGAAGGACAAACACCTACGGGACGCCTTCCAAAACAGGGCCTCTAGCCGCCCTCCGCCCACGGCGCTCAGGCGGCCAACGGGAGAGACCGCCGCCGAGCTGACGGCTACGGTGATGTCGGCCGCTGCTGAGACCGCGCCGCTGGCGAGGTGCGCACGAGGGCAGAGAAGCTGGTACACGAGCGAAGCGCAGCACGAGATTTCCGAAGCGTCTACAGAGATTAAGGCGGCTCAGCAGCAACTGCGTGGGGCCTCAAAGAACAGCGCCTGCGAGGCGACCCTGAAGGCGATGCTCAAGGCGGCGCGGAAGAAGCGCAGCATCGCGAGGTGGAG